CTTCAGTATATGGAACCTCACATACCACTTTATTCACGCGGGGAAAATGTAGCAAATCAATAAGTTGGTCAAAAATAAATGCATATTCAACATTAAACATGCGAAATTGAACGATCCCATGAGAACATTCAATGTCGGGGGTTGGGTCAAAAATCAGAGAACTAAGGAATTCAAGGGTAAGTTAGACATAGACAGGAATGATCTTCCTAATATAATAGGGATGTTGGCTAGGAATGATCTTCCTAATATAATAGGGATGTTGGAATCCTCCTTAATTTTCATAATTATGAAATCAGTGGGAATATAAAATTGTCCTATACGTACTGGAATGAATTTTTTGGTCGTTTTCAGTAGGATGTTAAAGGTTTTACGTGCTCGTATTTCAATACTTTCAACAAATTTGGACCCTTGATGGAGACCTAGACTTAACAAGTACTTCTTCATCTTCTCGTCGATGCCCATGACTAATATCACTTCTCCATTGAACCTCTAGATATAGGATCTTAACAAATCTCTTTTTCCTTGTCTGATGGATCTCAGGCTTTCCACTAACACGAGTTTACTTCTCGATGTTGTCACATGTACAAAAAACAATCACTTCACATGTCCAAATTTGCTAAAAGTATTGGAACTAGAAGGAGATGTCTTATGTACACTTCACTATGTCAATAAGTCAATCCAAGACACTAGAAACCCTGAGACTCGTCAGATAAGGGAAAGACAAGTTGATATAATCCTATATCAAGAGGTTTATTGTAGAAGTGATACTAGTTAAGAGCGTCAACAATGATAGGAAGAAGTATCTGTTAAGTCTAGGATTTCAAGTGGGGTCCATGCTCGCAGAAAGTATTGGAATTATGGCTCCCTAAAACCTTTAACAACTTAGGCAAGCTTCGCAGACAAGGGAAAGATGAGCCATTAAAAAGATGATAGAATGTAGTTTATTCATCTTTTAGGGGAGGATAGTGTCATTTTTCTAATATGTTTTGTCGAAGAAGGGATATAAGTGTATATTTTATTCAAATTATTGTTCAATTGCTTTGTGAGTGAGTTTGAAATCGAGACATCTTATTCTCTTTTAAGGGGTGAAATTAAGGTCACCAAGCTATTAGAAAAAATATATAAGAGGGAAAATTGTATAATATAAACATTTTTCAAGAGAGAAAAATATAATATATTTTTCATGAGAGAAAGTATTATTTTAATACAAGAGAGGAGAGTAATGTAATAAGAATATCTCTCCCAAAATCTATAAGAAGAGTGTAATTTACTCTTTAAATATCTGTTATGATTCTGTACAAAAAATGTTATGATATTAAATGAATTTGAATCTCACATTTAAGTTGAAAAACTATAATAATTCAAATTAAGAATGTATGGATTCTCCTGCATACCCTGAAGCTTGTCATATTAGTTGTATTCATTTGAAAGAAAAAAAATACAAATTTTGCATGTGAAACGATTTTAATTATATTATATTTTTGTAAAAGAAGTGAAGGAATTGGGAAAATATCTATTTCTCAAATTTTCCTTATTATAAATGTCCCCTGCCTCAGCCAGATACCTTGCTATGTGTTCGATAGTGGACTCGCTAGTGTCGCCAGAAAACTTTCCATCCCTTAGGAAGTCTAGTTTGTAAGACATATTCAGACAATAGGAAAGTGTAGTTTGGCCTTTGAAGGCCGATGTTTACCCTATTTCATTCCATTATTCTATCGACCATGGCAACCAAATTATTCTCTCCTTCTAAATCGCATGTCAAACTCGGTGAACCACCTCATCATCATCTTTGTTACGATTGACCAAAACAACCATGGAACGTTCGACTTCCTCAGGTGCTGGCTGTTCGACCCTGTGTGGTTAGACTTGCTGGCCCTAGTTAACTTCGACTGCATTGGGTGCGAACTGTTGGGCTTGGTTAACGATATGTTCTTCTAAAATTACTCCTTGGTTTTCCATAAGCCATGATGGCAATGGTTGAGCGGCAGGTCAAACTGGCGCATGCGGAGCGCAAAAGAAATATGTAATTTGCGTCATTTTTTGCTGCCAATTGCTTATTAGTCTGGGTTTTTTGCTGATTGGTTTGGTTAGTATTTTGGATTAAAGGCTCAAATATCGCACCCATCTATTGGGTGATCATATTAACCATTTCATGGTTATTTTCGCCCATTTACAGCCTCAATACCTCCATAAAACTTATGGTAAAAGTAGTCACTGGCTAGGCAGAAAATCATGTTCCTATGGGTTGGGTATTTCAACCAAGATCGTTAACAGTCGATCACGACCCTTGCAATGGGTGAATACGTAGTCACCGTTGGGTCAGCAAATGTTGATGCAATATTATGCAAACTTTCCATCACCAAAGTTGGCATACCATATGGTTATTCGCAACCATTCATATGTATTGTGAACCCAGACACATACGGCTTGAAACTGCTCGATACCACTGGTCTTGGAGTCACTGGATGACTTTGTGTTCTTGTTGGGGATAATATTGGTCCACTCTGCGTACTTGTTAGTATGGGCGTCGTACTTATCGTAAAGGGTTCACTTCAGTCACAACTGTTGCGGTTGTGCTTTCCCATGTCGTATGAGAGGGTTGCTCTCCATTATTATTTGGTGGATTAACCATTCTCCTAATGTATTTTCTTTTGGATAAAATTTCGTTATTTTTGACTATCCTACCACTTCTCAATCTCATGTAATAAAGTTTGAGAGGTTTTTATATATGAAGAACTAATGCAACAAAAAATCAAAACAACTAAGTACAAAAGTCCCACTGGGCGTGTCAATTTGTTTACCGTCTATTTTGGTAAACAATCGCTAGTCTTTCAAAAGATAATATTTTGATTACTTGCAGGACTGGCTAGATTGATCCTAGGACACATGTGCATAGGTTTCTTAAGTTTTCTTGATAATAAGGACTTCGACACTAATGTGAATCTTTAAAGTAACACAAGAAATATTTATAAAATATAAAGGAATGTAAAGTGGCTTTGACTGAAACTTAAAGTGCGGGAAAATAACGTTAATGTAAATGACTTGATATTGAATGAAAAAGTTATGGTGATTCATATGTATATTTCACTCAGCGACTCTTTTCTCAATACACTTAGATACTTTGAGTAGTGTGAATTTTTATACAAATTGAACACCTTTGAATCCTGATACTAGGACCCATATTTATACTAAATCGAAAGTAACCATAACGAACAGTCTCTTCTTCAGAGAATGACACGTTCTCACTTGTATGTATTTCGCCCTTCATAAGCTTCCACATGTCTTTCAAAAATGGATAAGGCCAAAAAACAGTTAACTATAATTATTCAAATTACTTTGTCGAAATTGCCATCAAACTAAGTCCAAAATATTCTAAGTCCCCAAACAGTGTTAAAACGAAATCTTTTCATCCAATGCCTGTCGAAGTCTTCACCAAAATTTTCTAATAAAAATATCACGAACTTAGTTTAATTTCTCCAAGCACTTTTTCAACCTTTCTTGATATCTTAATCTTTTCTTAGCGTCAAAATTCCAGCTAACAAATGCATTCTTGAAAGATACACTCTATTGATACGTTCAATAACATGTAATCTCTATATCGGAAGGAAGTTCTCCGTTGGGCTCTCGATTGGTTCATGAATATATCTAAGCTTTACCCTCTTTTTTGTTTCCTTGTTTGGTTTTTTTGTTTCCCCTTCTACTTGTTTATCTCTTCTCAAACCAGTTGTCATAAATTGGCTTAGTGATGACAAGCTTTACCTCATATTGTATGAACTTTTTGGTCGTTTTCAGTAGGTTGTTAAAGGTTTTATGTGTTCGTATTTCAATACTTTCAACGAATTTGGACCCTTGCTGGAGACCTAGACTTAACAAGTGCTTCTTCATCTTCTCGTCGATGCCCACGACTAATATCGCTTCTCCATTGAACCTCTAGATATAGGATAATAGCAGATCTCTTTTTCCTTGTCTGATGGATCTCAGGCTTTCCACTAACACGAGTTTCCTTCTCGATGTTGTAACATGTACAAAAAACAATCACTTTACGGGTCCAAATTTGCTAAAAGTATTAGAACTAGAAGAAGATGTCTTATGTACACTTCGTTATGTCAATAAGGCAATCCAAGACACTAGAAATCCTGAGACCCATTAGACAAGGGAAAGACAAGTTGATACGATCCTACATCGAGAGGTTTATTGTAGAAGCGATACTAGTTAAGAGCGTCAACGATGATAAGAAGAAGTATCTGTTAAGTCTAGGATTTCAAGTGGGGTCCACGCTCGCAGAAAGTATTGGAATTATAGTCCCCTAAAACCTTCAACAACTTAGGCAAGCTTCGCAGACAAGAGAAAGAGGAGTCGTTAAAAAGATGAGAGAATGTAGTTTATTCATCTTTTAGGGGAGGATAGTGTCATTTTTCTAATATGTTTTGTCAAAGAAGGGATATAAGTATATATTTTATTCAAGTTATTGTTCAATTGCTTTGTGAGTGAGTTTGAAATTTTATTCTCTTTTAAGGATGAAATTAAGGTCACTAAACTACTAGAAAAAAATATATAAGAGGGAAAATTGTATAATATAAACATTTTTCAAGAGAGAAAAATATAATATATTTTGCATGAGAGAAAAGTATTATTTTAATACAAGAGAGGAGAGTACTGTAATAAGAATATCTCTCCCAAAATCTATAAGAAGAGTGTAATTTACTCTTTAAATATCTGTTATGATCCTGTAAAAAAAAATGTTATGATATTAAATGAATTTGCATCTCACATTTAAGTTGAAAAACTATAATAATTCAAATTAAGAATGTATGGATTCTCCTGCATACCCTGAAGCTTGTCATATTAGTTGTATTCATTTGAAAGGAAAAAAAAAACAAATTTTGCATGTGAAGCGATTTTAATTATATTATATTTTTGCAATCATTCCCGTCACCACTAGACAAACACAACAAGTCAGAAACAGAAACCCCGTAAAAGTAACTCCGTAAAACCTTGTGTTTGTGTCTTCCACCACTCACACCTTTTTGAAAAATCAAACACCATTAAAAAAATTCAAAATTACTATTCTTATTATTCTCCTAATTCCTCATCCAATATTCATTGATTCAACGTGCTCTCCTCTTTCTTCTCTCCAACTCTACATGTTTGAATTTTCCATTTTTTTCAACTTGTCCCTTTCCTTTGTTTTGGTCAAAAACCAAACACCTAACCGTTTTAGTGCTGAGTGTGTGCTCAAATGTCCCAAAGCGTGTTTCTTTGACAAAGTGGGTTTGTTTCTTGAAAACCCTTTAACCAGTTTGTTTCATTAACTGCTTCAAGTAAACAACTTGCTTGCTCTTAGGTGAAACAAGAGGTAATTGATGATGGAACCATGAAAATTTCAACAAACTTGGCTTAACCCAGTTTATGTTTTCATGTTTATTTATGATTGTTGTTTTAAATTTTGTAACTTTTGATGTTTTTAAGGATTGGGTCGGGTTTGCTTTTGAGGGAAAATGAGTAAATTGTGAGTGTTGATGAAGATTCAGGAAAAACAATGATGGAATTCTGCTGTTTAGTTTAGCTTTTTGTCTGTTATAGTTCAGAATTGTTATGTTGTTAAGGTTTAATTAATATGCATTTGGTTTTCTTAAAGGACTAGTTATGTTGTTGTTACAGCTATTCTTTTTCAAAGATAATCATCAGCTTTTGGTATTTTATTAATTTGTTAGAAATGAGGTTGTCCCCTTCTTTATTCAGCTTCTTAGATTCAATTGTTGTTGATTGTATATTTTATTTAGGGCTTTTTGTTTACACAGCCTTGGTCTAAAGGGTAGTTTTGATTCTGGTTTTGATCTGGTTCTCTTTGTCTTCCACTTCGTTTTTTTTTTTTACCTTTTTGCTCTCTTAAGTTCTAGCTTGAACATGAATTTCCTATCAATTTTGTTTATTTGTAGTTGTTTTTGTGGATAAGGTGGTCCTTCTTTCTCTCTACTTTCATTCATGGGGAAGGTTACAACTTCTTCAACACCGCCTTTGTCTCAAGAAGCTTCCAATTTTGATGAGGTTTATATGCAGCAAAGCTTGCTCTTTGATGATAGTCTCAGGGTACATGTGTTATGTTACTACTTGATCTATAATTCTTTTGTCTAATGCAATTGCCGCTTTGATTCTTGGTAGCATAGAGTTAGTATTTTGCTAATATGTTTAACTTTTCATAATTTATTCTAGGATTTGAAAAATCTGAGAACGCAGTTATATTCGGCAGCTGAATATTTTGAACTTTCGTATACCAACGATGACCAAAAACAGATGTGAGTTGCTATGCTAAAGCTAGTATATATTTATGCCTAATTGTTAATGCTGTCATATTCTCTATACCTTTGGTTTCTCATTCTATCTTGTGTTTTCAGCGTGGTAGAAACACTGAAGGATTATGCTATCAAAGCTCTTGTAAATACAGTGGACCATTTAGGTTCTGTGACCTATAAAGTGAATGACTTGTTGGATGAGAAGGTTGTTGAAGTTTCTGGAGCAGAGCTACGTGTATCTTGTATTGAACAGGTATAACCAATGACCTCCAAATAAAGAAAGTTCAGTTAATCGACGCTGAAAGAAATAGCTAAGATGAATAATTGAATTTGAGTAAAAGGCTTGTTTCGATAATACCCTGATATTTTTATGGCTGTTTAACACTTAAGAAGATACTTGGCTCCCTTCAATTCAAAGCATATTTTGAACTGCAGTCGGGTTTAGAGATTGTCCCTTTGTGATTTTCTTGAAGTTCAAACTAATTATTAGTTACCTTAGGGAAGATCAATCTTACGAATTTCTCTAACATTGTTTTTCCTTATCGTGGTACATTAGAGAATAAGAACATACCAAGGGTGTATGGATCACAAGGGGATTACACAACAGTCGCTGGTGATCAGTACTCCAAAATATCACAAGCGTTATGTCTTGCCAGGCATGCATAACATTTTCCTCGAGTCAATTGCTATTAGAATTGTGTATATATTGTTTAATGATCACGCTCCTTTCATAATTTCAGTTGGGGAGACCATGATTGGTGCGAACCTCACAAAGTCGAAATATGTTGGATGTAGCCTTGAGGACGAAGAAGAGTGGCCTCACCTTAGAAATGGTATCTATTTTTACTGCCCAACATTTTGATTTCACTTATCTAAGAGACTACTACAAAAAGTCTTATGTTGCGTTTATTTTATTTGTATTCCAAAGTTGTTCGAGCTACAATTAGAGAAACGCCAACGACAACGAGGTAACTAACTACAAATGCTGCATGTAATTATGAAATTAAGTTGATCAAGAACTCGACGAGGATCTGGATTTTATGTTTATTTTGATTTGTTGCAGTAAAGGGCGTTCACCATCACCTTCTGTACAACCTCAGAGACCTGGACCCTTTTCGTTCACTTCAACAATGCCCAAAAAAGGTTTAGGTTGTACACTCTTACTATGACATGATACCTCAAAAAATCGTCGATATTATTACTTATTAATCATGTTATTTTCACACAGAGGCTGAAGATGTAAATCTAATTAGTATTTGAATGTTCAATCTTTTTTACATGTATTGAAGAGAAACGGTCCGTTTCACCATACCGGTTCCCGCTTCTACGTAGCGGATCTCGGTCAAGTAGACCTACAACACCAAAGATGAGCAGATCAAGTACTCCAAACCCAAGCAGACCAATCACACCAAATCCTTCTAATGCAGCAAGACAAAGGGTGAGTGATATAAATCAATATATGCTACTCAACACATCGGCAATGAGTTCTGTAGGTTATTTAACTGGTCTTTATTTATTTATGTTCCTACCAGTACCCTTCGGAGCCTCGCAAATCAGCTTCAATGCGATTATCTGCTGAAAGGGACAACGGAAAAGAGGTAGAACAATATCCGAGTAAAAGTAAAGGCCTCTTGAAGGCCTTATTAAGCAGACGCAAGTCTAAGAAGGATGACACACTTTATACATACTTGGACGAGTATTGATACCATAGAATCTATAGAAAGTTCTAGTTTTACCCATTTTGTTCGATAGGCCGCACTTCATCATTTCATCTGTATACTGTACTTTTTATTTTCCAGTATTTTACTATTGCAAGATCCCAAAATTATCTTGTGTAACAACAGTTCAGGAATTATCTTAAACATGGATCATGTAGTTATATAATCAAAGTAAATTTCACTTCATTTCTCTTCCTTTTGTGGAAACTATATTGTCAATGTAAAATATTCACTGGTTTTGTCAATGATGAATCTCTACTAGAAAACCTGACTGATCTTTTTCCATTTACAATATACAAATTAAATATAGTTTAATCTGAGAAACTGTCCCCTGCAATTATTTCCACCATATTTGTCAGGTGGAAAAATAACTAGGGAGTGAGCAACAAAATTAATGGTAACATGGACTTCTGTTTCTTGGTTTTGTAGTTTTGAAGTAACCATGCTCTTTTCATCTCTCATTACTTCTCCCACCTAAAATGGAAATGCATAAAGAAAGGATGCTTCAATACACTCCATGTGTTACTCAAACACCCTGACAAAATTCAAATTTCAGAAGCGTCTGAAATACACATCCAAATTCAATCTCTCATGATGTTCAAGGATTTGTCTTGATTACAAAATTCGAAATTTTTTCTGATATTACTAATTAATTGCAAATTCTTTCTAATAATGTTGAGTAATCCGGAATATACCCTCTTATCACAAAATCATAAGAAATTTCAGATAAGAGATGAAGAAAAACACAAATTAACATAAATATTTGTTATCATATATGCAAAATATTTATCATTGGTCAATCTCACCTTAATTGCGTATTAGTGAAATGTACTCCACATAACTCTTAAATATTTATCCGTCTCAAATTTGCTGAACTTCAAATTTCCTTCGTTATCAAATCAAGGGTGAACCGTAGTCGATCTTAACCACTTCAAACTCTATATTTGTAATTTTTATTTTTTCTCTGCACAAACTTGTTCTAACCAATTTCCGTAACAATGGAAAGTTTTCAAAAGCAAGATTTTAGAGGCTAGATGCCGTGAATGATCAGACAAACATGAACATAGAAAGCTTTACAGGCAACATTATACACATTCTTTCTACACAAATGCCATCTTTAATTATATACAAGTAACAGGTTTCGACCAACTAGAAATATTTACAAATAATGGAAATGGAAAATGGACAACATCACATGACACGGACACTGGAAGAGCATAGCAGAAGCACTCAAACAACCTTAGCCAATGTCTCAATCAAGATGTCATTATTTACACTGAAGGAAACATCCATCCCATGGTCCAACCAAGAAGCAAACCTGCACTAACAAGACTTAAACCCACCGCAATCGCAACAACGCATTTTCTAATTCCACATTTTCTGTCACTACTCTTTTTCTTTTCAGCTCTGCCATGATTTTTCTTAAAGTGCTTTCCCCTTTGTGGAAAGAGATTCAGTAATGGTTGGTTTTTGTTTCTGAGTTGAAGGCAGAGGTTCTCAAGCTGCAGCATGTAGAACCACTGCTTGTATGCAAAGAGCTGAGAAGCCTGTTTAAAGAAAAGACTCACGATATGCTCCTTCTCATTGTACGCTTGTTGCGCTGCTTTCTCAGCCTCTCTTGCTCTTGTTTGAGAATGACACAATGCTTCTAACAGCTCGGTAATGCTGCTGTTCTGAGAATTTATTTGACAATCTTTGTTGCTTGAACCAGAATCTTTGCTCTGGCCAGAACTGAAGGTAAAGAGCAGCATGGTTTAACAATAAATTTAATTTAGCATAATCATGAAATTTCTACTAAACAGGATTAAAGTGGTAAGACATTACTTGCAAAAAAAGAAAGAAAAAATGTTGAGTAGGACCAGAAATTTAATGAACAAGATATGAAACTCAGAACAGAACAATAAGACATTATAATCTATAGATGATATTAACGGTGAAACAATGGAACAAGGTTATGCCCTATGAAGCACGGAAACGACACCGACACTGACACGTCCACACCAATCATAATTTGAAAAAAAATGAACTTAATCACAAGTAGGGGGTGGAAAACGAGCATGTCCGCCCTGTGTGGACCTGTCCTGCAAAAACCCGCAAAAAAAAACAGGACTGGGCGGGCATAGTTGAGTGTGTGGGCCTAAAACCTTGGCCCGTCTCACAAAAAATGAGGGCAGAGCAGAGAGGGCTCGCGAGCACTGCACCTCTAATGCTTAAAAATGCAAAATTTTATGTTAATGCCTACGCCTACAAAAAGCGGGGAGACAAACACATTAGAAGGAATGAGTCTAAAACCTTGGTCAGACTCGTTTTGCCACCCCAAATCACAAGTGTCGGTGTTGGTGTTCGACAACACTAACACGGACATGGACACCTTTTTTCCAAAGGTGTAGGTGCTAGAGGTTATGCCCCACTCCTTCTAAATGTTTCCATCTATCATATGGGCCTAACAAATGTCATCAATGTTTGATATGCATTCTAAATTCCGGCTTGCTGAATGAATGGCTGCAAATCATGATTATCAAATTGAGATTCAAATAATGATTCATAAGACTTAATTTCCAAATTGTAGATCGAATCTTAATATGAATTGTAAGATATGTGATCAACAGAAATTTGATATGTTTAAGAAAATAAACAAGTTACAAGAGCAGAAACACAACAGGATGAAGACAGAATACACTGTTGGAGGGAGTGGGGACTAGAAACACATTATTCTAGAGCTTTTCAATGGTGATTCTGACTTCGATTTCAAAGTACCAGTAACATCAGTGCAACTGCAGCAATTCTGCAACATTATCTTCACCTTATGACTTCAAGAAACTAATGCAAGCAGACAAACTTCACAATTGACTTGGAACTTCAATAATTTAAACATGAAGAAGCAATAACTTCCTTCCTAAGAAATAAATAAAAAATGTAAAGAATTTGAGTGCAGTACTACCTGAAATGACTGCTTGAATCCTGAAAAGAACAGCCAGAATTAGGTGTTCCAGATGTATAACCATCAGCATTGGAAGAACAAGTCTCGGCTTTCAGGTTTATAGACGATGATTTTATCTTGTTACAATCAACACCCTTTGAGAATCTCGGTCCAAAATGCTTAGGCTGAGGATGAGGGAGATCACAATTTTCCACATTTTCAAGTGACTTCCGAGCAACCAAAGAAGCCAACTCATCTTTTCCAGCATTGCGCCACCAAGGCCCAGGTTTCTCATTTCCAATCAAACATGTTTCCATTTTCTCAGATACCGAGAAATCAGAAACATCGCAGTCCATAAAATGACCATCCGAAAATCCAAACTCCTTCCGATCTTTCTTCTTGGGACTAAAATGTAAATCATTATTCAACGAAGCCTCAATTTTCCGCATCCTGCTATTGTTATTGTTTTTCATACACGTAGAAGATACATTCCGCGGCTGGTCTACCGATAAATTATCACTTCCAATATAAGAAAGAGCATCAAAGTCAATAACAGACTGATCTTCACCATTCTTAACATTTCCATCAAGAAATTCCGTGTAGAAGGCACCAAACTCCTCAGTCTTGCATGCATAATTTCCTTCACACTCCATATTACTCTTCACATGTAGCCACCATTTCATATCCGGTAGGCTATCAGAATTTAGTTTCCGGGGCTTGCAAACGGAATCAGCCTGAACTCGCTGATTAATTAAATTGCTAGGTTCCCAATCCGATACTAATTTCTTCGGAATCTGAAAATCTGCCATTACTTATTGATCTTCAAGTAATGACCTAACTTAAGAAGCAATTTTCAATAAACACAGCATCTGGTGAATCAGTAAAAAATCAATCAACTCAGTTAGAACAGTAGATAAACTAAAACATGAATGCAAGATCAACATCATAACGAATTGTATAAAGTGAGGAATTATAAATGTTCTATAAAGTTGATAATTTGTGATACATGTGAATGAAAGATACTAAAGATAGTAAAATAAGAATAAGAAAAAGACTAGAGAAGTCAACTTTCAAAATTTGTATTGCTATGAGCTTGACTCAGACCTAAAACTGCCAAATCGAACATAGGAATCAGGGTGATTTTGTGAAACCAATCCAAAGATACATGAATTGTTGAGATTTTTCAAAACAGTAGAGCGTGGTTCATGAATGGGATGAGAGAATATAGAAGCAAAGAAAGATAAAGGAGTAGTAAGTGATTAAATTAAAGGTGACATACACGCAAAGACAGAGAGATAGAGAGAAAGATTTGCCTTGATTAGTTACGATGTGGAACCGTATGTTGCACGGAAACATGTTAGAGAGATTCCTATTCGTATGTGAAATAGATCCATGGACAATTTCGTTTGATGTCATGTCCTTGTCATATGCTTTTGGAGTTACCCACGATGTCTTGTCTCGTTAAAGTAAATTAAATAAATTTTCTACGATAAATATACAGTGCATTAAATATATTAAGTAAGAGATTAATTAGAATACATGTAACTTTCATCCAATTAGAACTAATCATTTTGACACATAAAAAAAATAGAGAAATAATACTCTATGTTTTAAAATAATTGTTTTTCTAAACTCAAAAAATTGTCTCAAAATAATAATTTCTTTACTTTTTCAATTCAATTATAATTATTTTTTTATCAATTTTATCTCTTGTATACACTATTTTCTGTTAGTGCACAAAATGATGATGACAGAAAGAATGAGAAAATATATATCTATTACTCTATAATAACAGCTACAAAAGTGTAAAGATTGATTACAAATGACAACTACCACTAATCTATTTATACACAAAATAAATTATCACGTATGTCCTAACAAAAGGTGAACTTAAAGACAATTAACTTAATAGCTAAGCTAACAAAACAACTAGAACTCCAGAAGATAAATATTATTCTGGGCGTAACCTCAGAAGTTCATACTTCTGACTAACAACCTCAGAGGCTCTACTGCTTCTGAGCAACATTGCTTCTGAATAATAACATCAGAAGCTTATGATTCTAACAACAACTTCTAGATATGAATTACTTCCAACATCATCCCTTAATTCATATTCAGCTAACCAAAATCTACAACACCAATTACATCCCTCAAACGGATAAGGTGTTCAGTCTTGACAGCTTCACAAGTTAACAACGCAACTACTGGTTGCTTCTTGGAGTACAAAGAAATGAGATTTTTCAAATACTTGAAAACATATCTAAAAGTACTTCTTATGTCAATTATGTCTCCATATCAATCAGAATCTGAATAACATAGCAGCTCTGCATCTGATCTAATATCAGAAGGGAACAACACTTCATACCTCAGAGTCCCTTCAGTATGTTGCTGCTTGCCAAAATATGTAAATCTCCTTGGTATTTTTCTGATTCGCTATGGCCTCTGGACTTGTTCAAAATCTCTTTCTGATTATGGAACAATATCTCCTTCTAGACTTTCTTCAAAAGTCCGACTACCACCAGAAGCTCCACCTTTATTAACTTCTGGACCACGTACAGAACCACTACCTTCAGAAATACCAATTTCAAAAGTTGGATCGCCTTTAGAAGCTCCTCCTTCAGAAGTTCCATCTTCAGAAACATGACCACCGTTAGAGGTTGGACTAACTTTAGAAGTGTCTCCTTCAGAAGGTCCACCTTTATAGTCATGATTACCAGCAAAAATATGATCATCTCTAAAAGCTTGTCCTCCAGAACCTACGTCTTCAGAGTTTTCCCTTCCAAATACATGATAACCACCAAATTTAAAATCTGGATCAGAATCAGATTCACCATCTGACTCATCTTCAGAGTCTCTAGAAGATTCTTCATCTTCTAACTCAGACTCACCTTCAGAACTTTCAAGTTCTGATTCATCTCCAAAACCTTCAGGTTCTGATTCATCTTTAGAAGCATAATCTCCTTCAGATTCTGACCCATCTTCTAATTCTCCTTCAGACTTAGAATCATCTTCGGCTTCTGACTTGTCTTTAGCTTCATAATCATCTTCTAACTCAGACTCATCTTCAAAGTCATCTTCTGATTCTGGCTCATATTCAAACACTCCTTCAGAATATTCAGAGTCATCTTCTTCCCCTTCAGAATAAGAAAATGACAATTACACAAGTTCCTCATCAGATTCATAAGCCATTAATAGCACAGGGTCATCATCTGAATCACCTCTGGCTATTTTTGCTTCTTCTTCTTTTTTTGACCAACAATCTTTAGCAAAGTGGCCAAACCTATTACAACAGTAACACCGAACCATTCGCTTGTCATACTTCTCCTTTTCCTTCTGATGTTTCTTCTCATTAAAATAAAAGACTTCTGACTTCTGAGACCTACCATATTTTTTCTGCTTCTGGTCCTTCTTGACAAAAGAAGCCTTCAGAGTCTGCTCAACTTCTCTTTCATAAGTTTTCTCAGTCATACGCAACTCTTGCGTCTCTAGACTACTTTGCAGCTCTTCTATTCACATGATGTCCAGATCTTTATAATGTTCAATGATTACTTGAGGATTAAGATACCTCAATATCTTCTCATTGATTACTTGTTCAGAAAGGGTTTCTCCACAAACTTTCATCTCACTAGTGATCAAAATCACTCTGGAGATGCACTCATATACCTTCTCGTTGTCCTACATGTTGAGATTCTCATACTGCTTTCGTAGGGACTAAAGCTTCATCTTCTTCACTGATGCGTCACCACCGTAACACCTAACCAGTGTGTCCCAGGCAGCCTTCACCATTGTCAAATCAACGATTTTCTCAAACATGTTCACATCCACACACTGATGAATATAGAACAACGCCTTCTGATCTTCCTTCCTTTTGTCTCTCTGTATGTTTCTTTGTTCCTTCGTAACATATGCTGCAATCGGAACGTAACCTTCGGTAACAAGCTCGAGAACATCTTGAGCATCAAATAACACACACATATGAATCATCCATTTATTCCAGTTCTTGCCATAAAAAATTAGAAGTTTGGTGCTCAAATTACCGTTTTCGTTCATCTTCAACCTTGTACAAAACTCTCAGATCTCACTAAACATAATGTTTCCCAATCCCGCAGAATCAGAAAATGTGATTATGTTCCGATTTTGTTCAAAATTCAAATACAAATTCAAGAACCAAAAACAATCACACAACGCCACACTGTTTCACTCGTGTTTCCCGTGTTTCCTGTGGATTTGAACCAGAGCTCTAGATACCAATTGTTAGTGCACAAGATGATGATGACGGAAATAATGAGAAAATATATATTTATTATTCTGCAATGACGACTACAAAAGTCTAAAGATTGATTACAAATGACAGCTACCACTAGTCTATTTATAAACAAAGTAAATTTCCGCTGTAAACTTAAAGACTAAGTTAACTTAATAGCTAGAACCCCAGAAGCTAAACACACTTCTGAGCGTAACCTTAGAAGCTCGTGCTTCTGACTAATAATCTCAGAGACTATACTGCTTCTGAGCAACACTACTTATGAGTAATAACATCAGAAGCTTATGATTCTAACAATAACTTCTGAATATGAATTACTTCCAACATTTCTAAGTATGATAATATACTACTGTTGGAGCGGTGTAGCGGCAAGCAACAAAAGTTTTGGAAATATTCATCCTGAAATTTATCGTGTCCACAAAGATTAATTATTGAATTGTCGTTCGACAAATCTCTCGTTAATGAGTTTGAGGATAAATGAGTTTGTAAAGAAAATATTATCAACAGAAAATAAATGCAAACAAAAGAAAAAAAACTAAGGATGAACTTATCAAGCTTGCATATAACCTACTCATCACAGACTTAAATCTATCAACCAGTTACATTCAACCTAATAATATTCATCAATGTTACTATGTATCACTCACAATCTAAGTCATTTCTAACCCAAATCGAGAGACCGACTGTATCACCAAGGAAATGATCTCTCTACCTCCTTAACAACATAAAAAACAACTATGTAAGCGCACTGACAATCTCTCATCACAACACAACCACACAGAGGCATTAAGCTCTGATACCCAAGTAGCTGTCAACTCTAAATCTATCTCTAGAGTTTAGAAACTAACAGATAATCATCCTAGATAAGAATTTAAACATTATATGTCTATAACAACTCAAATTCCTAGTACATAGCAAAAATCTAAGATGATAATCAACACAGATTTGTAAAACAAGTTTAATATAACGCCATGGGCGATAAATATACATAAGTTTAGAGTAAATACATGTACAAACTCAACACATAAAGAATACATAAAGAGGAAGATAAATGAACCACAAATCTATCGGTTTGTCAGTGCCGATTGAAGAGCAATCCACCCCGAATCATCCGTATGCAAGTTTCAATGTTGTTTTCTAAGCTAATCCTATCCAAAAATAAAGGGTGATGGAGTTTGGATCAATAATACCCAAAACCATACCCAAAAAATGTGTTTTTACACCTAAATACGTATTTCTGACTATCCAGCATTGTCCGGCGACCAAAAATCGTCTCCCGGCGACCAAAACCGTATTTTTTTCCCGCGCTATAGCTCGCCTAGCGTCGCCCGGCGACCAAAAAGCGCCGCCCGGTGACGGATGACAGGAAGTTGAAAAACCAGCACAATATTCTGCACTGTTTCAGCCATAACTTTTGAACCGTAACTCAGATTCACGCCCAGTCAGAAGCGTTGGAAAGCTTATTCAATGCTCTATCTAATAATGCCTAAATATCAATGCTCGGATACCTACAAAATGAGATAAAATCAATTAAACTCAATAATA